GATTCGATTCTTTCCCTAACAAATTTAGGGAAAAAGGGTTGTTCGTGCTGCATGCATGTTTCATACTTTTTGCTTTTAAAAAAAGATGGATGCCTAATCAGACGCTTGGAAGAAACAATCGAGTTGGTTGTCTCGTTTTTGCTTCTTCGAAACATTCCAATATACTTCTGTCTAGTTTTAAATACGAAAAGTGCGAAGAGTGAAAACAACACGAATAAGCCTATTTTTGGGGAAAGAATCGAATCGATTCAGAATCGGGCATCTCTAAAACAAACCTTTTATTAATTTTGCTTATTTTTCACTGCTGTCGACATAGAGATATGAGAAGTCTTTCGCTTGAAATATGATTAATAACTTGCTTATAGCGTGATATAATTTAAATTCCGACTCGAAGCGTGAATGTTCAACGTGCCGCGCAATGCGCTCGTAAGATGCGGGATGCCTCCGCTGTATTCTTTCGCGGGTTACTCGCACATACACATGTGTAGGAAAGCAATTAACCCGCTCCCCTTTTCAATGAGACCTATAGACCTTCATCTTGAAACGCATACTCGTATTAAAGAACTATCCTACTAAAAGGAAAATCTGTGGAAAAATACGTGTTGAAAAAACGCAATTTTTCCTCCGCGGATCCATTGTCGACTAATATTTCAGGATGTATCTCGTTTAGAAAGCGTTACGCGCTACCCTCCAGCAAAATTTTCGACAGTGACAGTGATAAATTGAGCGAGAGTTCGACAGTTGCAGAAAAAGCCCTGTTCAAAGCGTATTTCGTTTTATTACTGAGAATCACGGGAGCCGCGCGCGAGAGTCGTACATTTTATTTCTGCATATCTTTCTTGCATTTCGTGTAAGAAAAATGACTCCGGGAAAAATCAGTTTCATTACTCCATTTCTATGCCAGCGTTACCTCCCGCGAGATTCCGCGCATAGACCTTAATTGAAGCAACGAGAGAAACCGTAAGCTCCGCGCGCGCGTGCGCGCGGGCGAAGAGAATACACGTAACGCAAAAAAGAGAAAATGCGAGAAATGTAGAACGTCTCGTGGAAGTATCTCTCGATTTTACACCAACAACAGTCCCCAGACGACGGGCTCGACTGCTTAACGGCGCGCCGCGACCGAGGAACAAGAAGAAGAAGAAGAAGAAGAAGCGCGGTATTCGCACGCATTCGCGGCCCGTGGAGCTTCCATCTCCGACGTCGCAAAATTAGCATAATCCGACAATAATAACTCACATAATCGTAGGAAGTTCAGTGCTTTCGGCCAATTACGGCGAGGCGTACTCGCATGCGCGATTCGCGAGAGACGCGCGGGGAGCGCGGCGCGAGCTTAGGCGAGCCGCCGCGGCGAGTGGCTCGTATATCTCACCGCGTTTATCTATTCAGGTATCTTCTTACCTGCGCGCCTATATATGCACACGTACACGCGTGCGTGCGTGCGTGCGTGCGTGCACGCGCGCACCGGCTGCACGTGTGCTACAAGAGCGTGAACTGTTTCACGTGTGTACGCGCTCTCGTGCGCGTGCTTAGGGCGCGCTGCTGCACGCGTCGTTGCGTGTAAAAAGAGTTTCGCGCGCATAGGTAAAAGCAGGCAGGTGGGCAAGCACACGATGCAGCTCGCAGCACGCGTGAAATCGGATGCAGCGCGTTATTAGCGCTCGAAAGACGTATCGCGAATTCAAGAAGCATGTCGGTGTCGTTAGAGCGACCTGTCGAGAAATCGAACCCCGGCGCGGCTAAATTGAGCACAGTTCCCGCATAGAAATTTCCGAAAATTTTTCTAGATTCAGCATACGCACTGTTAAAAAAAGTACTTGAAGATTTATATTTGCGGGATATAAGTTTATTTCGCAGAAATCAGCTTTGTTTCCCCGAAATGAGTTTTATATCCCATGAAATGAGTTTTATATCCTACAAAATAAATTTTCCAGTATGTTTTTTCTCATCTCGGTGAGTACCGAGAAAGAAATACCTGATGATTTATTTTTGAAATATATAAAGTTTATTTCCGTGAGGTGAAGTGTACTTGTGCGAAACAAATTTATTCCTGTCAAATAGAGTTTATTTCTGTCAAATTAATTTTTATCCCAGAGATAAATTTTCAAGTTTCTTTTTTTTCAGTGTAGTTGAGATTAGAATGACCAAATTTGCCACAAAGTTGTTTATCTACTACGATACAATTGGGAATCCATTCTTGTCTCAAACATGCGATCCCTGTTTACAAAATATTTGAAGAAAAAAATATTTTAAAAATATTTGAAAAATATTTGAAAAATATTTGAAAAATATTTGAGAAAAAATATTTGAATATTTATTTAAGAGATATAAAGTTTCGTTCACAGAAATAAGACTTATTTTGTAGAAATGAATTTTATTTCACAAAATAAACTTTATATCTGAAAAATAAATTTTCAAGTTTTTTCTGAGTATCGAATCGAAACAAAAATACTTGCGCTTTTTTTTAGTCGCCAATATCGAACGATATATTTTTATGATATCAAACAGCAAATTCCATTTCCACATCATTAATATATACAATAGAATAAAAAAATATATATATTTACAAGACGTTATCAGCGCATTTTATTGAGTAATGAAATTATTTGGTAGGTCAACGTGTTTTATTCAATTTTCTAACATGAAATTAAGACTATAAGAAATATTCAAAAAACTTTCACTTTATCTACTTAAATATATTTAAAACATTACACTTCTAATCATAATTAACTCATAATTATTTTGGCTAATTGAATTGGATCTAACTAGATTCTGAGAAATATTCTATGCGATTTTGCAGTTTTTATTATAAATTTATATTAAAATATGCGCACTTTTTTTATGAATAGTTCTTTTCTTAATATTGCATTAAAATTTTTTTTCTTTTCTCTTCAATGTTAGATCTTATAGCGTTATTAGCAGCATAAATATATAAAAGACATCTTAAAGATGTCTGAAAAATATTCTATTTATTTTAAAATTTCTCTGAGACGTATTTTAGATATTTGTGTTTATATTTGTGTTTGGGATTACATACTTGTTTCGCTCTCAAAGCAAAAAGTACAAACTAGTTCAGATAAAGAGGAGAGACCTTCAATTTCTGCGCTGCGTGGCATTCTCAAAGCGTTCGATAACGAACGAGCTCCTTCTTCAGTCTATTAATAGTGTTCACCCTCGAAATCGAGGGTCAATTCTTTCAGTGGAAGGTATTACGAAAAACACTACATCGCGCGAGTAAATCTATAATAATTAAACGCGATAATCACTGATGATATACACAATTGTATAATTAAACGAAATAATTATATTGATTTTTGCTTGCAAGTTTTTATTTTTTGCGAGAACACAGGAGTTTGTTACCGTTGCCTTTAATCTCTCGTGCGCTCGCGTAGAAAATTTTAATCAATTTTGCGTATCTCGTTGCCATAAATGCTTAGTCATAAAAAGTATTGATTAAAAAATAATAAAAAATGAATTGAAATTCAATAGACGCGGTTGGTGGTCGATAATGCGAGCGTTAAATCTGAATACCAGCTTACGATTACTAAAGGAAAAACTGCATCGCCGTCGGTTGATACAGTAGGGCGTTCTCCCTCTTTCTTATCTATGGCGTTCTTGTACGGTAAAAGAGTGTAACAGTTGTGAAAGCTGCTTTTGCGACTGTAAAAAGTTGTAGGGTAAGAAGAAGTGGTATAGAGGAAAATACGGATAAGCTCTCTTTTACCGTAAGAAAGTCATCTGGCATTTCGCGAAGCAACGTCCTGCAGAAGTTGAGATCTCGACAAAGGGATTAAGTTGCTTAAAAAAAGAAATTGTTCTATGTAGAATTATATATTATCAAAATGCACATAAAACGTGAATTTTCGTTGAAAAAGTCGCTTTTCACTCTTGTTCTTTTCTGTATTCTGTAAATGAAAGTTAGAAGTTATAGTGGATGATAACATCCACAATTGACTACACAGTGTTGGGTATCAATTGATTAAAATTTTCCTTGACTAAAATAATCGGCAAATTAATAATCAAATTTAATCAATCGTCATATACAAAATAATCATAAATAATCATAAAAATATATCATAAATAATTTCATCCATTGATCAAATTAATTATTAATTAAACATTAATATGATTGATTATACACTGATTAATAATGAATTTCATCAATCGTTTAAATTCTTCGCGATTACATATACGACGATTGATTAATTTTGATAATTGACATGCCGATTATTTTAGTCTCAAAGGAAATTCTTATCGATTATTTGCCGACTTAACATTGTTTCGACTAACAGTAAGTCTCACAGACAGCATTGCAGACATTTCTAAGAAATGTTTGTAAGATGTTGAAAAGACATTTTATTTTTTCCAGACGATTTTAAAGACCTAGTTTGTCCTATGATTTTCTAATAAAAAATTCACATTTGTGTTTTGCAACATATAACTTTGCATCAAGCAATTAATAATAGAGTTTTGCAGGACATTGCTTCGAGTAATAATATAAAATGATTATCACTAATAGAGCAATTACTTCACGAGTTACAACGTGATTTTCTTTTTGTAAGCAGATTACCACTGCCTTTCTCTGTTTGATTACATATCGATCAATAAAGTCAATATTTACCCTCGGTATCGTTTTGCATAAGCTTAATTATGTATAATGCTGGAACATCAATATAGCGTGCAGCTTGGATGTAACGCGCTACTTCGGGATTATACTTGAAATTATGCACAATTACATTTACTTTCAATACTCAAATGAATTTGTGATAATATACATATATATATTTCTCTACATTTGTTTGTTTATTACTATTTGCGTTGGATTAATCAATGATAATGAACTACAATATCAGAATGGGAGATCATTATTATCTCCTTCACCTGTTATTTCGCGACATGTTATATCGCGATTAGAACATATCTCAGTAGTCGTATCTCATTATTGTCGTCAAGCTAAACGAGACTGCAGGGATCATTTTCTTAGTTGCCGAATGCTGTTTCAGGTCACTTCATTACTGCTGGAAGGCGAGCGCCGCAAATTGTCAGTCTTGCAAAGGGAATTGCAAGCAGCCCTCGAGGAAGGTGGGAGTGTAAAAGTGAAAGAGAAGCAACGACAGGAATTGCTGCACGCTATATCGTGAGTTACCTTTGAAAAAAATTTTCGAACGTAAAATGAGTGAGAGATGAAAAGTATCTGCGCCTCTTATCTGATATGTCATCTGCGACAATTCCACACGAATTGGCGAAATCGTCGTTACAATTTAGACTTGTTAAAGATTTGAGTTTATTTCAGTGTAAATAAAAGATTAACACGTTTTTATTCGAATTCAAAATATCTTATCGTATCGAATTAGATTGTCCTTTTCGTGTGATTAGACCGACCTTTCCAAGTAGAATTCTTTTCGTTTATGGAATTGCATTATCTTCTTTTTATTTTGTGGATTATTTTACGCAAATTTTTTTCCAGAAAGAAAGAGAGAAAAAGTTCCTTTTATAAGCATGTGCCGAGAGAAATAATTATATGTGTAATGAAGACTTTCGAATAATACATCCACTAAGAGGCTTCTGGAACGCGAATTTTTACGTCGAGGCGGAGTCTCCTGTGGGAAGCGCGGGAGCTTAACTTTTACAAGATTTAGCGAGGGTAGTCCCGTGACGGAGTAACAGTTTTATCGCGCCACTTTTACATTTTTGCATCAGAAAGTGTTTCATCGCGTTATCTTCAGCATACTCTGCATAATATTCAAGCGAACGTAACGAGTGTAATTATATCCTAACGAAGCTCAACTCGTTAATACCAAGGTATAAACAAACTTTTCAGTTTACTATATATACGTATATATACATATGTACAGGGTGTCTCAGAACAATGGTCCTATCGTTCGTGAAGATGTAGATTAGGTCGAACAGAGAATAAAAAATTTCTCCACTATATATTAAAAAAAAAAGCGTAAAATATTGAGTTATCGATCATAGAAGATTTGTGAATAATCACGCGCCGTTCCGTAGATAAGCTGTAATAGCGATGTCTGCTGCCATGTGTGCTTATATATTAAGTCAAACTGAACAAAAAAATCTCTTACCATTTTCCAAATAACCTCATAGATTCTTAGTTATTAATCAAAGAAGATTGGCGCATAATTATGCGCGATAATACTTTTTTAATTAATAACTAAAAATGCACGTGATCATTTGCAAAATGGTAGAGGACATTTTTATTCAGTTTGACCTAATATACAAATACACAGTAGCAGATGTCGCCACTCATCTACGTATGACGTATGATCATTCATGAAAATCTTCTTTGATTGATAACTCAAAATTTTATGTGGTTTCTTAAAAAATAGTAAAAGAATTTTTTGTTCAGTTTGATGGAATCTACGCTTTCACGAGTAGTGGTTTCGGGACACCCTGTATATGTGTGTATACATGTATATATATGTACGTAAAGCGCCGCGAGTTTTGCAACTTGTGTACGCTATTCCCTTGTCGCGCGGAGTTCAATTTCGCGATTTGCCGTAAATGACTCGCGTCGACTACATAATGAATCGACCCGGCGTCCCTCACAGACGACGCCTTCGCGCCTCTTAGTCTCTACTGCCTCCTTTATTTCGCGAAACGCTCTTGAAATTATTCTCGCCTGCTCGTGGTTGTGTACGAGGAGAGAGAGGGAAGGGGAAGGCCGGAAAAGAGCAACGCCTTGAAAAAGACTGCGGGTCAGCGGGACGCGCGCGACTCTCTTTATTTTGCGCGTTCTAACATAAGCCGAGCTGTTTGCATAGTTCCGTTCTCGCGTCTGCGGTGTCCCACGCCATGTGTTTGCGCAAGGTGGCCGCGCCCGCGTCCTCTTCATTATACGGCACTGATAAATTCACGAGGCAGCGGATATCACGCCTCGAAATTTCGCGATCCTCTCTCCGCCACGCTGCGCGTCGCAGACAATGACGTGTTTGAAGGGACGATTGCTCGAGGGCTGCTCTCGCAAGCGAGGGATCCTCGTGAGAGGAAAATATACGTTTGCTACCTTGATTCAAGTCGAACTGCTATAAAACAACGGATGATAAGAGTCAGATTGAATACAATTTCAACTTGATATCAATTTGACTCTTGTCGTCCGTTCTTTTATATAATTTTGGTCAACTTGGCTCTTGTTGTCTATAGTTTTGTATAAAAAAATTATATAAAACAATTAACAATAAGAACTAAATTGAAAGTAATTTTAATTTCAAATTAATATAGTTTTTATATTACGTTGTTTTATAGAATTTTAATCACTTTGTTTCTCATTGTCTGTCGTTTTATATGTTTTTGATAAATTGGAGTTCTACTGTCCTTTGTTTCAATAATTTTAATTTATAATCATTCGATATTTGAATTTACTTTCTGTTACTTTATATAATTTTGGTCAATTTGCCTTTTATTCTGTTATCTCTGTTATTTTATATAAAAATTATATAAAATAACAAATAAGAAACGAATTGAAAATAATTTCAATTTCAAATAAATTTATTTCTTATTGTTTTTTATTTTATACAATTTAATTAAATAATAATAATTTAATAATATAATTAATAATAATTATAATATATATATAATAATAATATTATATATTTTACATAATTTTGATCTCTTGTTGTCTCTGTTGTTTCATATAAAAAATTATATTATATATATATATATATATATATATATATATATATATATATATATACACAAAGTGTAAAAAAACTAGACCGAAAAACTTTGAGGGGAAATAGAGGACATAAAGACAAACATATTTTGTTAATAATATTTTTCTCTACAACGCTTCGTTTTAATACTATAGGGTACAAAATAGGAATTTTATAATTTTAATAAAAAACAAACATATAAGTGGAAAAATTAAATTTATTTCAATTATACATATATATTTTAATCTTCAAAAAACAATGAACAAAAGAACGGAACAAAAATGCCTAATTGATTAGCTCAATTTATAATAAATGTCCAAAAATTCCTTCTTATCGGGCCGTACATTTTACCCTTACGATTGAATGGCAATATTTATCGTATTTTTCTCGAGGAAGTTTTGCCAGAACTCATGGAAGACGTGCCACTTGTCACAAGAAGACAAATGTGGTTCCAACACGATGGAGCACCTGCCCATTTTAGTGCTACTGTGCGCAATTACTTAGACCAAAGATTTAATGAGCGCTGGATAGGCCGAAGAGGTCCTATCGCATGGCCTCCCCGGTCACCAGATTTATCTTCGCTTGACTTTTTTTATGGGGGCATATGAAAACTCTCATTTATGAGATACCTATTGAAACAGAAGCAGAATTGGTAGCTCGAATTACTGCTGCACCATATCAAGTTCAGAATATTCCTGCAGTCTTCGAGCGTGTGAGACAATCAATGTTTCGACGATGTCATCTTTGTGTTGAAGCAAATGGAGGAATTTTTGAACATTTATTATAAATTGAGCTAATCAATTGCGCATTTTTGTTCCGTTCTTTTGTTCATTATTTTTTGAAGATTAAAATATATAAGTGTAATTAAAATAAATTTAATTTTTCCACTTATATGTTTGTTTTTTATTAAAATCATAAAATTTCTATTTTGTACCCTGTAGTATTAAAACGAAGCGTCGTAGAGAAAAACATTATTAACAAAATATGTTTGTTTTCATGTCCTCTATTTCCCCTCAAAGTTTGTCGGTCTAATTTTTTTACACCCTGTATATATATATATATATGCTATATACAGGGTGTTCCCAAAAGGTGGTACCAAATTTTAGGGGTATGTAGTACTCGTTAAAACAAACCAAAAACTTTTAATGAACAGTATTCCGAAAACCTTTTATTTCTGAGTTTTGAAGCATTTTGTTCTGTGGAAAATAGAAAATAACTAAAATTTACTGTCCGGTCTCACGTAAGCGTTGATGAATTTTGCTAAACATTATTCTATATGGCTGTCGGCGATTCGGATAAGCTGCATGATACAAACGTGTTGCTTTTGAAGCATTGCGCTTTGCTCTGCCATACATAAAATGAATATCCGTCATTTCAGAATTTGTGTAAAAATTAGCCATTTTTCAGATAACACAAAACTAGACACCGTCCACAATCCAAAGTTGAATACAACAATCTCTGCGTAATTAGGTGGTCATATACGGGCGTCCGTGAATGAATTGACTAAGAGACTTGGAAACTGTTATCAACAAATACGAAATAAACTTGGACTCTTTGACCTTTAATGACAAAACATGCCGAAATGTATATTGACATGAGCCAAAGGCACATTGAACATTTATTGTAGATTTAATTTATTTTCTATTTTTCACAGAACAAAATGCTTCAAAACTCAGAAATAAAAGGTTTTCGGAGTACTGTTCATTAAGAGTTTTTGGTTTGTTTTAACAAGTACTACATACCCCTAAAATTTGGTATCACCTTTTGGGAACACCCTGTATATAGCGGAAAATAAGAACTAAATTAATTTTAATTTCAAATCAGTATGACTCTTATATTCTGTTGTTTATATAATTTTGAATAATTTGGCTCTTATTGTGTGTCTGTTGTTTTGTATAATTAAAAATTATACAAAATAACGAATAATAAGATAATGATAACCAAATTGAAAATAATGTCAAATCAATTTGACTCTTATTGCTCGTTGCTTTCTATAATTTTTACATTATATCGGACTGGAGGGAGATGCGCGGATCGGCAAATATGGGAATAAGAAGAGCAGGCGAAAATAGAATGAAAGCGATAAATCCCACGTTTCTCGATACCGATAAGAACTTGCGCTCATATTCCGTTGGATCGACTCGAACCGTAATAACGCATCCGATTCTGGCTAAGGCGAAAGATAGAAACCGCGAGAAAGATCTGGAGTCGTAAAACGTAAAACACCGCGGCGCGGAAATCGAATGCGTAACCTTTCGCTAGAATCGATTCCACGGCGGGGAGAGAAGCGGGCGAATCGCCCGGTAATGCTTATGCGTATTTATTCAACGGTATATCAGCGCTCAACGTACAACGCGAGCGAGGGCGCGCTCGCCGCGCTCGATATTAAACGACGAATTACGTATTCGAAGCGAATTCCGTTCGCGATTTAACGAGGTCACCGGAGACCGAGCGAAATTTCAAGTCC